TACGCACACGTCGAGGCGGACCTTACAGATGCGACACATAGGACAAGCCAAATAATAAGCGTCGATAACATAAACAGTCGCCAGCGAAAATGGAAATCAAAGTCACGTATAATAGAGTACTTCGATCCTCGGTGTAAAATTGAAAGCGAATAGATGCGCTATGTAGGATTAAAGGAACGAGTGAGAACAACGTCCTGGAACAGCGTTTCTCGGTGTTTCTCAAACTGTTAGCCTGTGGAGATTTTTCAAACCTCGGATGACTCGAATATTTTCGGCGTTACGTCCAAGCATTCCAAAGATATCCCCGGTGGTTAGTTGTAGGATGTCGCGAGACTGTACATAGGGATTCCTGGCCCTTAAACACACGCACACGCGTATACACGGGATCAAATTAGCGGTAAAATGTACTTTCGATGAAAAAAAAAAAAGATCTATTGGGTACGTTTTAAGAGACCGCAAAAGTCGGTCATTTGGAGGATCGCTGTTTCAGGAAAACACCTTAGCAATGACAAAACAATGATCGTTAAGCTTCTCTGAACCTACTTTTTTCTTATATCGTATCGCTTTGTCCCTCTGCTGCCCTGACGGAGACAGCAGGTAAATAACACGTTTGTAATCGTGCATCGATCCTCAGCTTCAATACCTTCCGTTTACTGTTCCAGGCGGACGTTACAAGAGTTGGAAGAGACGATGGTTCATATTGAACGACAACTGTTTGTATTACTTCGAGTACACCACGGACAAGGAGCCACGAGGCATCATTCCACTGGAAAACATCAAGGTCAGAGAGGTGCAGGACCGGCACAAACCGCACTGCTTCGAGCTGTACGCCGCCGGTTCCGAGTTCATCAAGGCGTGCAAAACGGACAGCGAGGGAAAAGTTGTCGAAGGTATAACGGATCTACGGAAACTAAACTACGTTCAATCTGTAAACAATCGTTTTGGTCTTATTAACGCTTTCGAGAACGATGACTCAGTCCTCGGATCATACGACACCTTGAGCCGGCGACTGACTTGCAACAGAACATTGTAATGAGCATTCGCTTAGTTTGGCGGACTAGCAAGTGACGAGCGAACCGTGCTCCACTGGTCTGTCGGTTTTTTCACGAACCTCTTTCATCGTCTACTTTTCACTGAACCGAGTAGGAAGCATTGAAAGAGAATTCAGCCGAGAGTTCGAAGCGAGCATTCGTGATTCCAAAAAGGACCTTGTAATGTAACGTTGGTGTCAAACCGTAAAATTCGTGCCGAGCAGTTACATTACAGCGTTCTGTTGCAAGTCAGTCGCCGGCTTTACTCCTGTATCGAGTGACATGCGAATCGAAAAAAAAAAAGAAACTATAAAATAGTCACGGAACTGTCACCAGTTAACAGTCGCGTCTTCCAAGTCACTTTCTAACAATTAATATCGCGCAGCCGGTAAATAGAACAAAATATCCGTACCTGTTATTCTCCTGTTATTATTCCAGGTAAGCATACGGTATACAGAATGTCTGCGGCCACGGACGAAGAAAAAGAAGAATGGATCAAATGCGTGGGGTAAGTCGCGTCGCGTTCGATCTGAGAATGTCGTATCAATCGTAATCAATTTCTACATTGAAAAAGTACAATTTTTCTATGAAATTTGACAGGATCATCCCGAAATTCCTATTAAATGTCGAAGCTAATCGCGTTGGCCGCTTTATAACGATCGTCGTTGCACTTACGTAACTTCTTTTTGCGTGTTCAACTTTGATTAATTGTTACAGACAAAGCATATCGCAAAACCCGTTCTACGATATGCTGGCGGCTAGGAAAAAGAAAGCACAAAAGACCAACGTACACTCGAAGAGCTAAACGTCGCCACGTAGACAGCTTCGAAAGAAGCTTGGTGAGACAAAAGACTGTCTATTCACGAACCTACGTCGCTGGTTATGGATCGTGAAGTACAATCAAACGAATAAGCCGCTCGTAGATTCAGCGAAGGATCGGCGCGTCTGCTGAGAATCTCGCAGGAAAGGAAGAACTTGACGGTTACCTATGCGACGGTTCGTCATCGGCGTAGCTTTCGTCGTATACGACACGAAGACGAGTCGGGAAACGAGTCACAAAAACGAAGAGAGAGAAAAACGATGCCATTGGCTCGATAGTCGTTCGGTGTTACATTTTCTATAAAAAAAAAAAACTCGCTGCGCCTTAGTGGTCTAGATAGGTATATTATTTAAAGAAATTCGACGCTAGACTTCGAGTGTTCGAGTTCCCTGAAATGCAAGGCGCTCAACTTATTTTATGCGTTCAAAGCCAGAGAGTAAACGAAAGTATCGGGCGAGCACAAGATCGATAGATACGAGAAACGACGATGACAACCATCGAGTTTTTCTATCGTCGTGTTTCTCCGTCGCTCGTTAAATCCCTAGCAAAGTATAGCGCGTGTATCTTACCGAGAAATACTACCGTACGATCGATATTCCTGCTGTGATTGGAAACGAGAGAACGAATCGGAAAGAGTGAAATCTTTCGTGTTTCCTGGCAGCTTTAGACGATTAACGAAGCTTCGTTCCGAATCACTTCGAGATGCGTGAAATATTTATTTTGCACAGATTATTCGTACGTAAATATCGTTTCACGTGTATCCCATAGAAAACGAGAAATGAAAATTGTAAAAAGAATGAGAGTGTATCGTGGGATAAAAACTCGTGTGTCTGTTGAACTCGCGAGAATTGAATCGGTAAGACACGTGTGTTAATGTGATAGTCGTGTATTTATTTGAAAACAAAAATGAAACTTATACGGATAAGGTAGGTAATATGTTTCCATAATATTCCAGAATTGTTCTGGATTGCACATTATCGTACAGTTTGCGAGTATGGTATGTTCAGCCAATTGCGGGACTGTAGATTAAAAAACGACATAGTTTTCTTTTCGTTTAATGTACATATATATATATATTTTGTGTGAAAGTGAGTGCGTGCGTTCGTGTGTGTGTGTGTGTGTGTGCGCGCGCGCGCGTGTGCACATATTGCAATATATTAATAGTTGTGTTAGAAATGAATAGTAATTTGATGAAATCCAGTTAATTAAGAGTTTGCCTCCTGAACAATATTTACAGTCGCCTGACATACATTTCATCATAAAGCATAATCGAGATCCAGTAAATCTTTCATATGTTAAAAATTGAATGCTGAAAAGATTTATCTATGTTATTCAAAGTAAACGAAGTTACACAGAGATTACTTTTTTTTTTTACTTTAGTTCTTCCTATAATCTTTACATGAAAGCCATAGAGAATACGATGAAACATTTTTTATCCAATTTCTTGAAACCAATTTTGTAATGTTTTTAATGGACGAAAATAGTCTCTCCATATTTCGATATATATTTATTACTACTAGTCACAATAATATTTGTAAAACTATTTTTACCCACAGATATTAGAATTTTGTAACTTTTGTCATTGTATTTGCTCCTTGTTTCTTCGTCTATAGTGTAAAGTAACGTACAAGTATGTCTTGGAATTAGAGACTTTTGAACATAGATTCTTTCCAGTTTAACGATTGTCGTGAATCCTAGCGAGCTTAAACCACACTCGCGTTTGGTGTCGGTATGAAAATGAAAAAATAGAGAGAATAACGATGCGGGTGCCTTTGAGATCTCGTTCAAGTTAATTGTAACAGTAGATCCGTCGTAAACATGAGTACGAGGTAATGAAAATTCAAAGATTTACGTTGTCTTTTTGCTACGTGCAAGGGAATGTTGAACATCGAAAACGCCTTACTACGATACGTTAAATAACAAAACCCAGAAGTAATTCTAGACTATAAGTTTTTTAACGTTACGCAAAATCTAACTGTGGTAAAAAAACAATGATTTATATCCCATCACAGTCACGAAGAAACGCACTTTCAATTAGATTGATAAATAATTGTTTCGTGGCCATTGACCCGTCCTTGAATTGGCTTTGTACAGAGACTACATTTTCTTTTCTATTTTTTTTTCTTTTTTTATTTACTACTAACGCGTCGATGGATTAACGCTACAGGCGTATCTATAGTGGTTTATCAAAAACGTGAGGTAGGAGCTGCATAAAATTAGTTTAGACGAACTACGTTGGTAATTCGTTAACGTCCTTCGTATCGTGTTCACTTTAAAAATTGTTCGTCGATAATACATTTATTTTCGAAACGACGAATTGATTATCTTTGCTATTGCATCGAGTTGCCATTTCTCGGAAGGGAGACCATAATACCACAGCGTCCCGTAAATTTCCAACGAAACGCTGTTCGACCAATTATTATAAACCGATACCACAAATACCATGAAATAATTTGGTGAACAAGGGAATGTATAAAGCTGTCCTTTAAAGAACAATATAGATGATGCTATCAAAATTGTTTAAAAGCAAAATCAAAACTAATCTCGTAGTTTAGCAGAATACATTACAAATGTTGGTTTGTAGTATATTTCTTGTGTATAGAAATTTGGGTAAATCATGGAAATGACATACGCGTAGAACGATATAAACTTCTGTAATCGGTAAGATAATTGATTCGGTATAAGAATTGTGTAAAAAAAATTTTATAGCAAAAAAATGTGTACATTTTGTTGTATATTATTTTCACTCGATAACCGTTATGTATTCGTATTGATCTGTGTACTGTACGTTCAATCTTATATGTATTAATTTAAACATAATAAATATTTCTATTTCGTAAGAAACTTAACGGAGAATATTTCTTTATCGGATTCTTTTACGGGTAAACAAAATTTGCACATCTCTTGCCCTTTGTATAAATGTATATATGTATCTTGAATAAAAAACCGGGCCAATGGTTCATGCGTTGAAATGTAACCAATAGAAACTAGACACAATTCTCACTGATTTTCCCTCTCAAATAGGCGTCACTAACCGTTGCTAACCGTGTCCAAAAACTACATTTATACCTCCTCTTTTTATTCTTGTGTCTATGCTGGTCTATGCCGGTCTATGCTAGAGCATGCTGGAGCATGCTCATTAAGCCAAGCATAGTCACGTGATCGATTCTGTTTGACCGCACTTCCATTTCATTTCTACGTTCACCAATAATTCTCTTCGCATGCAAGTATTTGTTGTTTAAACGTTGAAACGTATCATTATTGAAATAAACAATGAACACGCTACGATATATCGCTCGACGGGACATCCATCACATTCGTCAATTTCATAAATGGTAGGAATATGTAACCTGAGGTACATAACCTCACTTTCGAGTATACCCATGAATCATGTAAAGTGTAAACCATTAAAAGTAACAATGAATTTTAACTTTGCTCAAAGAATTTAATGCTTTACGTAGATTTTATTCGACTAAACATATATTAGTGTAATACAATTAAACGAATTAAGTTCAAAAATATAAGTATATTTGGTTCTAATTGTTAATAGCAATTTTTATAGTTTCGAAAGTAGGGGAAAGTACAACAAATTAATTTAACCCTGCTTGAGGTATTTGTAACCCAGTATCAAAATTGTTCCCACCTTTTACTAGTATCATTTTAAACAAATACTAATATCTTTACACCATCTTGTTTTTTAGCATTGCTCAACGAACAGAAGCAGCTACAGCTGTCAGTGAACCTTTCGTATCACCTTCTTTTACACCAGAGAAGGAATCAGTAATTAGTTCCAAAGTAGATCAAATAGCAGATCAGATAGTTTCTTTGAATCTCATAGAGGTAGCGCAACTAAGTGAAGTATTAAAGAAACGATTAAATTTACCAGATGCGCCTATAATGCCCATGGGTGGATTTGCTGCTTTATCCAAACCAGACGTATGTGAAATTTTCTATTTTGGCCATTACAAAATCTGAAATGGATACATATATGTATAATAATTTTGCTCTAGGAAGAAGAAGTTGAACAACAAGCAGTGCAAACTTCATTCACTGTTAAATTAACAGGTTTTGCTGACAAAAATAAAGTTGCATTGATAAAGGAAATGAAGAATATAATGCCAGACTTCAATCTTGTACAGGTAATGCACATGATTTGTTAGCGTCGCATTCAACTTGTTTCGAAATATTCGATTATCTCGCCATATCGTTCTTCTTCTGCATAGGCCAAGAAATTTGTCGAAAGCGCACCAACAACAGTGAAGACAGATATTTCGAAAGAAGAGGCAGAAAAATTAAAGGAATCTATAGAAAAAGTGGGTGGTCAAGCGGAGATTGTATAATTGTTACTTATTAATTTACATAAATTAATTAATTAGAACCCAGAAAAACGCTTAAAAACTCTGATAGCATTTTGTAATGATTTGTAGACCGAATGAGATCCGAATAAAAGCACCATTTTGTTATACAATTTGATGTGAAAATAATTTTTCCAAGTGTTCTAGTTTAACATTTTTCTAACAATCATTTATAGCTCATTAAAAAAGCCGATGTATTACAGCAACAAATCCACGTGACCGCGTGTTGGTATCAGTGGCGCCATCGGTGGAAAAACGCTCAAGTTTGTACCCAAAGCGAGAGAGAACGCAACAGTGTGCGACAAGGATAGACGTATGCGCCCGAGCGCGAGTGAGAATGCACCAATATACGACAAGGATAGTGACAACAATTCGCCATTTTGTCGACACGCTGAACGTTAACATATATTATTATTAATTTAAACTACTTAGTAACAATCCAAATCGTACTGAAAATGGCCTTTGAATGTATACAGGGTGTCCCAAAAATGTTGTAACATCTTGAAAGGGGTGGTTCGGGAGGTGATTTGAATTTCGCTATCGCAGCCGCTCCAACGGTATCCGCGCGCTCTGATTGGTCAGTGTTTTCCTTTAATATTTCCTCAACGAAGCCTCGGACAACATTTTTGCTAAGGAAAAAGTTGTTTCAAATCACCTCCCGAACCACCCCTTTCAAGATGTTACAACATTTTTGGGACACCCTGTATATTGATCTGTACTTGACACCGCCATTCCAAAAGTTCAGAAATTAATAATAATATCTGTTCGTTCAAAGTGCCGACAAAATGGCTATGTGTAGTCGCTATCCTTGTTGCACACTGTTGCGTTCTCTCTTGCACTCGAGCGCATAGATCTATCGCTGTCGCACACTGTTGCGTTCTCTCTCGCACTCACACAGTGGAGCTTCGGGTACAAACTTGGGCGTTTTCCCACCGATGGCGCCACTGATACTTTCTTCTTTCTTTCTAGACACTAGAGGTCTATGTTAAACCACTTCCACGCCACTGATTAACACGCGGTCACGTGGTTTTGTTGCTGTAATACATTGAATACATCGGCTCTCTAAATGAGCTATAAATGATTGTCACAAAAAATGTAAACATGATTTATTGGACAATGTACAATAATATGAGTACGAAATGTGAATGTTTTGTAAAATAGATAATTGAGAAAAGATATGTCACGTGATTCAAAGCAATGAATTTTTATAGTTTACTAATCATTCATGGATCGAGCGAGACAGTTCGTTACCAAACATTAAAAAGATCTATTATACAAATGTTATTCGTTAAAACATATATTTGTTCGAAAGATGTTTTACATTAAACCTCCTACAGGACAAGTATCGCTTCATGTTTTAGAAAAATGCGTTCTCGCTAGGTTAGAATATTTACAGTTACTGTATCAGGCTAAAGCTCATGAATTTAACGGTAACTTTGAATATTTATTAGAAAATTCAGCGTACGATAAAATTGGACATTTTTCAATACGGTAAGTAGTTATTAAAGTAATTTTGATAATTTACACTGATCGCGAATACTGATCGCGGATTGTTAATGTATTTATTTTAGTTTATTAGCATCCGCGTCATACGATCTATGGAATTATTGGATTCCCAGGGAAATCCTATTATTCCAGAATAGACTGCACCATATTTTACCTAGACAATTACACAGATTATTAAGAAGTATCATACGTCAACTAAGATTACTAGGAGATAAGGACAAATTAATTCATAGAACATTAATTGATATATGTACTTTTTTATTAAAGCAATCTATTTTCAAACATCTTATATCAAAAGATCATAAAATAGATTGCAGTAGTTTTCAAACTAAAGGTATATATTAAATTAATGAAATCTTTAATTCGACATACAATTATTTAAAAATGATATTTTTTCTTATATTTTCAAGTGAGATTTGAATTAGTGCCAGACTTAATAAAGGGAAGAAAATTAGACTTGAATGCTGGATATGCTATTGTACATTGTTCTAAATGGAAAGAAATACTCCAGTCGCTATTTTTTACATACATGACTATGGAGGTGAAGTGTATGAAATCAAAAGCACAATACACTATAAATCATGATGTTAGAATCGATTATTTATATCAAAAGATCCACTGCCAAATATTTCAAAGAAGTTATGGATGCGGACGCGTAACCGTAGAGAATATAGACAATGAAGCAAAAAATTTTCCACTTTGTATGCAGCAGTTCCATACAAAACTACGGAATACTCATAGACTTAGTCATTATGCAAGATTACACTATAGTCTTTTTCTGAAAGATAGCGGAATGCTCCTAGAAGATGCTATAAATTATTGGAAACAAGAATATTCCAAACCTCATTCATGCACATCTATTTGTTCACACCGTTGGCAATCAAATGAACGTAAATTTGTGTATAGCATTAGACATCTTTACGGTTTAGAAGGTTCTCGAAGAAACTATAAATCACCCAACTGTGAATTTATGTGTGTAAGTGAAAGTCTGCTTCACCATGCAAAATTTATACTTTATTGAAACCAATAATTACTTTTTTTTGAATTCATATTATAGGCACATGTTTCTGGACCAATGTACGAAGGAGGATGTCCATTTAAAAATTTTGACATGAATGCTCTTCAGAAACTTTTATCCTTGTCATTATCAGATGATCAAGTAACAGAATTATTAAATACTATATCACCTCAAACTCCTCAAATTGCTTGTGGAGAATTTTTGAAAATGCTCAATCAAAAAACTAACGATAACATTCTTATCAACAGCCCGCTACAATATTACTTAACAATGATTAAACAAACTACGTGATGTATTATTAATTAATAATAATAAATATTTCTATTACAAAGACAATTTTTAATAAATAAAAATTATGTACATATTATCGTTAAAGTATTAAACTATTGAAGAATGTCTCATGTTTATAATTATTGTCTAAACTCAAAACTATTAAAAATCTTTTAAAGCATCTTCTATAAGTGCACATGTTACACCATTTCGTGCAAGTATACAAGTAACACCAAGTTTCCCGACGTCAACAATATTTCTATGTTCGTCGTCGAAAAATAACATGTCCTTATAATTAGTGCCCGATGCTTTTTGAATTCTGGAATGAAACAATTTATCTCGATTATTCGTTCAAGATAAACAAAGTAAAAGTGTCTCTCATTCTTATGCAAAACTTACTTAGAGAAATGGGTTACTTTACTTCCTGGATATATCTCCTTATACTTAAAATAGCTCTCCCAATTAAACAGTTTTAACAATTGCTTAGCACCTTCAATTTCCGAAGTACGCGATGCAACGCCAAGCTCGTATCCTTTGTCTGATAACCGCTTTAAAATATCAGGTACTTCTTTGTAGTAGCGTATAACTTTACCGTAAGCATCTACGACTTCATTTCCTTTCCTAAAATTTTCTTAATGGTAACGAAACAAAATCAATAGCATATTTTTTCGCAAGTAATCGCGAAATACCAAGACTTACTTTTTAAACGGAGGAGTAACATGAGTATCAACCCAAAATGGCCATAAAGTATAATCTGAAATACAATGCAATTATTTTAATACGTATCACACTTTATTTACACAATTTCCTATGATAGAAAAAAGATAAGGTATCCTACAAAAAAATGTTCTAACCCAAATCGAAAACAATTATTTTAGGTTGTCGATTCATTTTGCACATTTCCTATCAAGCTATTACACTTTACTACATAAAATAGATAAGTTACAGGGAATCTACATAATCAATTCATAGCAAATGCGTATTTAAGGTACAGTTTCTAATATTTGAAACTGAGAATGACATTGCTTCGATTGCATCAGCGCCACGTGCACGTGACATTTTATAACGAATCGTTACTAGTAACAGCAGCTAACAATAACAGAAATCACTTATATTTTCATATAATTAGGTTTAATAGAATCGTTTTATGTAAAACGTGAATCGTCATAAATTATAATTCGTTCTAAAATCTGATCTATACTTTTGTTATAACCTTAGTAAAAATGTTGTGTTTTCATGTGCACAAATAATTTTGTGCATTCGTCATTGACCAATGAAAAAGCACTTCCGAATCCTGTTACGACCAATCGTGAACGAAGTACACGTTAAGGCGATCTTCCAATATCTACAATCCTTGAATTTTGTTCATCTTGTTCGGTGGTAGCGTCAATCTCGTTTATCGAATTTGTAGAACATCGTGGAGTGCCGATCGGTGATAATTATTGGATTTATTATAAAGTTATTATTTTAGATAATAGGAACGTCTGAAGTTATACTCGTACGTTGCATTTCATTCTATAACTGATAATAATAAATATTAATAGCCTAAGTAAATCGCAACGATGCGAACCCGCAAAACTCATGCATTGCACATTATTTTTGTTATATTTACTAAATCGCATCGTTACTTAAATAATTTTCAATCGTATCTATATATGTATTATTGAATTTACCTCGCGTAAAGTAACTATATTTTTCTTATAATAATTTGAATAATTGATACTTTTCTATACGTTATATTTAAGTATTTTACTCATTTTTTGTACTTCAATATTAACTGTTATTCTCAATGATAAAATTAGATAGTTGGTACATCACCCAAAGATGACCCAAACATTTCATTTACCACAGTATTAAATTTGTATTACCAATCTAACTGCGTGACTTACGAGTCACATTATTAAATTACTATTTAGATTATACTATATTGCCCAGAATAAGTAAAGTCTAGTATTAATTCATGCACTTATACCATGTTATTATAAATGTCCAATCCTGGTACTTTGTTTACTTAATGTTTGGTGAGAAAACAAATACAACTTAAAATGATAAATTAGGTTGAGCTCAAGTATAACATATACATATATAATATGTATGATAATATTTATTTTAAGATTCTACGATATAGTCGTATTGAGTTGTTATTACTTTAGTATGTATAGTATAAGAGAGAAAATTGTTTCGAACAGAGCAATTTTAATATATCTCTGACTAAATTAGTCAGCATATTCACCTTGCAGAAAAACCTCTTTTTATGCAATTCATTACAGTATGATAATACAGATTATACAAATCATTATAATGATAATGACAACATGTATTACATTCTGCCTATTGTTTACATAAACATACATGTATATTATTTATTTTTTTATTATTACAGAAATGTCTGAATCAGATCTCTTAGCTACAGATCACATTGATGGTCTAGATGGACTTGAAAATGGTCAAGATGGAGATGCCATTATGCAATGCGATGGTGTAAAGCGTGAATTAAACGAAGCAAATATCGATGATCCGGTATTTTATTCTTTTCTGCTACAAACATTTAAAAATAAGAATGAATGTTTACAAAATTAATGTTATAAATTTTATTAAATAAATTTGTCTCTCCTAACTTCAGGAACTAGAAGCCATTAAAGCACGTGTTAGAGAAATGGAAGAGGAAGCAGAAAAATTGAAACAATTACAGTCTGAAGTGGACAAACAGATGAACATGGGTAGTCCACCTGGTATAAGTAAGTTGTAAATTTTGTTAATTTGTATGTGTATTAAATTAATATGAATTTTTTTTATAATCGCGAATATATATTTTATAGTGTTTTTAAATTTTCAGCAAGTCCATTAAATATGTCGCTCGAAGATAAGATGGAGGTTGATAATAGATCCATTTATGTTGGTAATGTAAGTTGATATTCTATAAAAATGATAATAATTTTCGTGATTTATTTTTGTTTGAAATAATTGATTATCATGCTTTTTACACAAAAATACAGGTCGATTATGGCGCTACGGCAGAAGAATTGGAAAATCATTTTCACGGTTGCGGCAGTATCAATAGAGTAACTATATTGTGCAATAAATTTGATGGGCATCCTAAAGGTTTTGCTTACATCGAATTTGCAGAACGGGATTCTGTACAAACTGCTATGGCGCTGGATGAATCTATGTTTAGGGGGCGTCACATTAAAGTAATGCCAAAAAGAACAAATAGACCAGGACTCTCAGTGACGAATAGGTGCTTAAAAGTTACAAATATTATATTTACGACTGTATGACGTGTGCAGTATTATTGTATAGGGAGAAGGGACACCGAATTTGAACGGTAACGCTATAGTAATATGCTTTCAGGGCACCACGGGGTGCACGAGGCTACCGAGGTATGGCCAGAGGAATCATACGTGGCAGTGCGTATTTCGGGTATAGACCCACAAGGCGACCTAGGTATGTTTCGAAGTTATAAGTGCTTTTTCAATTTAAATAATTTAAAATTTATACTTTTTTTTATGTAGGACTTACAGACGGGGTTACTACATGCCGTATTGACCGTTTTAAAACATTTGACTACTATTTTTCAAATTAAGGTAAGTTCTAATATTATCATGGTATACATTATTCTTTAGTTCGTCTGTTTCCTGTGATTGTTCAAACAAAACGTCCAATAAAAGGGTAACTAAAAAAAACTTTTTATACTTAAAAATAATTACATGTGTTATAGATGAATATCTCTTATAAATCTTGTAGCGTATAATTGTACCATAAAAATCAAGCATAACTAATTTAGAAAAATCACTTCGTTTGAACAATCAGTTTATATATTGCTAAGCAATACATTTGTAGGAAAGGCTGGCAAATCAACGAACCATTTAGGTATTATTGTTATAAAAAGTCAGTATAAATATTAATGATGAATATTGAAACAAAATGTTCCACACGTTTTCTAGCCATTCCTTAGTGAATGTAAAAATATTATTCTCTCAGTGATTAACGTATGTTCTTGATCATTATTTTATAATTCTGATGTATCTATATAATTTATTTTAAAAAATTGTACATTTACGATACTAACATTTTAAATATTAGAACTGTTGCAAAGTATCCATCAATTTTCTACAGTGAACATTATGGAATTCATATTTAGATACATTGGCTTTCATTGGAATGCTATGCTGTGCTCTAAGTGTATAGTCAGCCTCGACACCTGACCATATTTTAAATATTGATAATGGAACACCTATATCGAAGTTGATACTCTATAGATACTTGATTTTATTTTCTTTTGTGGTATTCTCAATTCCTTCCAAATAATAGGTGTTCAAAAATTCATACCATAGAATATGGCCAAGTGTACTGTAATATTAGATATTGTAAGTTTTTGTGCATATCTTATTTATAGGTTACACAAAACTTACATATTTATACGAACATGAATTACAGTATAATGCTGCTAAGGTGTTTAAGTAAATTCTTATGATATGTCCACAGAAAAAAAAAACTGATACGATGGGAAAAAAAAGACAAAGAAAAAACCTCATGTCAAAAGAAAAAAAAAAGATTGGACAAAGATGGGCACAATTAATCATATTTGATTTAATAAATCATCATATGAACATTACAAATGTAGATCAGCGATGATTCGCTATTGCAGTTCAATTGTGTTTTTATATCATTCGAGCAGTTGAAATTCAACTGGTTCTATAATATCAGCCTTTATTAGTTTCCAAGAACTTAAGTCCGTTTAGATTACAAAAATACATAAAACTTTGGAATGTTAATAAAATCATGTTAATATATAAAAATATCCCCAAATGTTTTTATGTGTGTGTATGTATATATATATATACGCGCATACATATGTGTATATACGTATATAATTCTATAAATACTAAATATTTTAACAAGAATAGGTCTAATTCGATCATTATACATTTTGAAAAAAGTACGTGTGCACCTTGAATTTATTGCCAAATAAAATATATATCTCTTTCTTTTTATGCATACGTATATATAATTGTAACATGTTATACATTATTAATGTTATAACAGGTTCTGCTTGTCGTTTGTACACTAATTTCTTAACATTTACAAGTAAAATATTTCCTAACATAGATATACCTTTATCTATTACCAATTAACATTTTTTTTAATGTATATAACAAGACTTTTATATATTTTTGTTATCTATGGTAATTATGGTTGTTTCAACTTAGATTTCTGTTATCTGATCAAATTAACGTAGAATAAAAAAAACTTTTATAAACTACATAAAAATAATTGACTATAAATGGTAATTGTATTAAAATATGTTAAGATAATATTAAATTGATATAAAAAAAAGGGACAGCTTTCTCATATACTCGAAACGAAGGAATTATATTAGGGGCTTAGAAAATAATTATTTTAGAAATATTTTGATATATTATAAAGGCTGATATAACGTTGGCAAAAAATATTTTATGTGGCGATCGAAGTAAATAAATATAACCTTTATCTATTTGTTCAATAATTTCGAATGTATTTATTAAAAGTTGTTTTCGGTGAAGCACGTGTTTCAAATGTCAAATTAAAATAAGAATTGAACTGCAATACGAATGTCTAGTAATATCATATTACGATAATACTAAATTTTGTATGCATAGTAAGTGAAAGTTGCTAAAATTATGTTATAATTCTCATATGGAGTATTTCATACATTGATATCGATCTGTGCAACTTTCATTTATTTATTACTAACTATACATCTTCAATTTTATCTCAAACACATTGCTACTAATTTGTAAGATGCGTGTAAAATGTTTTTGAACCATTAATCCACTGTGCTATGACGTTAGGGGGAGAGCCAAGTTTCCACATATTAATGATCGAGCTACATTTCGTAACGTTACTTCCATGTCGCTAAGTATTTTGCAGGTGCAGTGCAGCATCAGCATCAATTGAGTGATAATCATACAAATTTCACGAACAATTTTTACGTTCCATTAAAAAAAAAAAAAGAAAGAAAAACGAGAAAAGAATAATTAAGATATAAGTGTAACATATAAATGTAATGTTTGGGTGGTAAATAAAGATTTTTCTTGGCTTAAAATTTGTACGTCAACTACTTTTATTAGGTTCGCATACTTTCAACGTTGTAACAGAAACAGGTAAAATAAATATAACTCGAATAAATTAATGATTTGCGTTTATTAACATTCAGTAACATTTAAATTGTCATTTTTTTTACATTTCAGATCAACAGTTAATGTTATCAGAAGGATAAATTTTATTCATACAAATTAATAATATTTTTATAACAGATATAATCAGAATATTGTTACATTTATTTGATTAGAAATTTACATTTCTTTATATCTCTGAAGGCAATATTGTTCATGAAATAATCTCCTTCGACCTTGAAGGTTTAATTATTTCACCTATTGTAAAATAATACGAATTTTCGGTCCGCGTTCCCTTGATTTATTTTGCTCTAGTTATACGAAGTATTAAACGACAACGGACGATACAAGAAACATAAACATTATCTCAACGAATTTAGCCGGCGACATAAGTTTAAAAGTATGTATAATATATGATTAAAACGTCGGGATATTCCGGAACACATATAAATGCACAATTAATTTCTAAAAGTTTTAAAATATTAGCGTTAACAGTAAAACTGAAGACCTGAATTCAAAACGTTAAAAGTATAACAGGACAAAATAATTACTAATGTATTTTTATAGGAAGTATATAATAATGCAAACAACTTATAGTCTTGAAGCATACTATAATCATAAGATCCTAGTCTAACCTCACTAATTTTTTTGTAAAGTATTAACACCAGCAACATTTGATTCGGTATTTTGAATATAGCTTTCAAGTAATGAGACTATGATTATTAATACTGTTTTAACGGTCACGCTAGGCACAAAAAGCACCTAAGTTTTGGGAAAATAAGGATGCTCTGCATATGTCAGTAAAGACACACAAATCTCGCATTAACATAATTAATATTCGATTTATTAGACTAGAACCTTAAATATTAGTTTGTAACTTTATAATATACAACGATATATAACCTATAACAAATAATTAAGTTAATTCTCAAAACATTAGTACTTGCTGTTTAAATTGATCGATGTTTTCGTTTCATTTTAAAGTATATAAATATATTTAACAATTAAAGAATATAGTATGTGATAATAAAACATTAGAAATTTATCTCTTCCAAACTCAATGTATACCTTTAGATATTTAATTGCGTTTTCATAGTAATCAGATTTTTAATTCAGGTCCTCAATTTGAATCTATAGAATTTAATAGCAATATCCTGGACTTGTTGCCTCGTTACGGCCCTCTTTTGATAAATGTCCGTGTTCATATAATAGTTTTATTACTTGGTCTAAAGAACAGGATAATAAGATTGCATAGATATAAACATTGACTAGTATACCAACTTCATGGTACGCAAATTTTGTTTTGGAAGGCAATAGTCATCGTTAAGAATTTAATTCGATCATTTTTAGAATTGATCGTCGCAAACTTTGTATGTTTGGATGTGAAGTTTCCAGATAGTTTAATATTTTTACACCATCTTCTCTGATTAACATGCTGCAGTAATGTTTTGCTACAAATTAGAAGAATTTAGATATAAGACAGCATTCACACATTTGCTTCGCATCAATATGACAAAGTAGTCGTCTATTGTAGGAATAGTCTTGTACTCACGATTTTTTGTAATAACGTGCTGTATTGCCCAAACTGCCCAAAGTTGAACAGGAGTATCTGAGCAGCATAAAAGCGGGAAAAATGGTTGGAAACTTCTATAAGCAACCATTTCTCCTTGAGGTGTTCGCCAATGTGTCACAGAATGAGCTAATTGTTGCAGTAATTCATCTCTAGTCTGTTGTAAAGTCGTTGTATTCCATAGCCGTGGTCCATCGCTAAGCAAATGTGCAGTAATACCTGCTGCGAAGTAAGATACATCAATGTGCGCCGAATTCAGCAACAAAGAAAGCATCCACAAAAATTTAGGTATCATAAGCCTTGGTCTTAAATAATGAACCTGCAATAAATGATATGATCGTATTATTTGTTTGACGTTCAGTTTTAAAAATTCTAAAACAATAGATTATAGTACGAACCTCTGCTATATTATTTAGTAAACCCAGTACTTTAGTCTCAACGCTAGACTCTCCTTGAAAATTTTCAAGCATTTGAAGAAACAACTCTATTCCACCTTGAGCTAGAAAGGCTGTACACGTTGAAGCACTTTCATCGGTTAAATTCCATAGAGCACTTAATGTAAATTTCATTGTTATATCTACTGATTTAGATTCGACTCTAGACCTAACTATCGAGAGTAATTTAGACATATACTGTGGCTGAGCACCAAGCTTAGATGTTTCTACCGGTGTTATTTTTGCTGCCAATATCGAGGAAATGGCAACAGACATACGAATCATTGATTGGTCATTGAAAATCAACAAGGAATTCATTACTAATGTTGCGCATCTGTAGAAATGAAAACAAGTAAATAACAAAGTAATATTATAAATTGAATTATAGACGTAGATTAAAGCGTGTTAGATTTTTCTTTCGATTAGGATTTGATATTTCGGTCTAGAATTTTCGAGTACCTGTATTTGTCAAAGGTAACATCCTGTAAAATTCTATCGCTGCATAACGTCAGTAGCGTATTCATTTGTAGCCGATGACTAGTCGGATAAGATTCCATTGCTACCATGGTCAATTCTACTACTTGCTTGAGTATCGATGGATGAATCATAATAGCAAATTCACCTTTGGAAAGATTATAAAGGCATGCAGTGCATGGTACCTGCACACGAACTTCCTGTGGATGTTCTTTCATTCCAGCTAACACTAACTTTATAACATCAACCCGTGGTTCAAGAAAGTTATGCGTTAACCGGAATAAATTAAGCAAACATTTCTCTAGATAGAGTGGTCTGCATGTATATCTTCTGAGGGCTTCTAAAATTTGAGATTCTGTTGCTGTACCACTAACCTACAGCGTTAAGAATAACAACAATTGGTATTAATATTTTCAAATATTCGTTTTATCATCTAAATTATTATTATTATTATTATCATTATCATCATCATCATCATCATCATCATCATCATCATCATCATCATCATTATCATAATAACTTACAACAAGTTCAGGTCTATAGTCTGCATTTGCCGAGTTTGTTAAACTGTCTTCGTAACAAGCATCTGTGCTTACAAGTCCCAAAAACCTTAAATACAGATGAGCTTTAATAAATTCTTTCAAGTCTTTCGAATCTATATCACCTTTACCTACAGCAAATGAAAAAATGATAATATGCCATTTGGTTACAAATAGAAACAACACGTTAAAGATACGATACCCACCAGATAAATCTAAATTAGTTAGATATGGCATACAATGTATAGCTTTCAAAAATTGTCCTATTTTTGGTTTTGCAGGCCCTAACACAGAGTTAACAGCATGCATATCTTTCTCATCGGAAATATCTAAATTTCTCAATGCATTTAGCTCCAATAATACTGAGATTAAATTTGCACTTTCATCTATCTTCAAATTATACATGATAAGAGACTTCAGACGATTTTTACATTTTTTCAACGGTGTTACATCATCAACTTTTGTACACGAAATATCTAAACTCTCTAAAAGAGGAAGGTCTTCGACTACTATTTCCAAACCATGTTTATTAAACTCTGTTCCTGATACGTTCAATGTATTCAGAGCTCTTAATTTGCTTAACGTTACTAGCACGCAATACCTGTTATAAAATACAAATATACGTAGCATGAATACTACCATGTGCTACAGAAATGTTTTGTTTGGTATATATTTGAAAATAGTTGATGTTTAATACCGTGAACAACCCATAAAACTTCCTTTTGCCACGCTCAATGATCGAAGGTTTTGTAAACTCCAATCACTTAAACAACTTATTAGATCATTAACAGTTATCTTTAATCCATTTACTACCAATTCTTCTACTTTATGCTGTTTTAAAACTTTTAAGCCTTTTGCTGTTAATGCGGATGCATCTTTTAATCGCACGTGTCTGTAAAGAATATATGAATTTGATTAATATTTTAATCGTATTTTTATTTCATGATAATTAATCCTCTTAATTTAACAAATAATATGTAATTACCTTAATCTGGTAGACTTTGAATCGAAAAGCGTAATAGTGACGTCTGTTAATCTTTTCTTTTCACAAAGATTAGATAATAACTGCTCTGAAATTTCAGCAGGTAAAAAAACATCTGAATGCCAAAAACTAAATGTTGTTGTTGGAGTTGACGACACATCGCTAGATGCCCTAGCTATTGTCGTGCATGGAATATCTACATTACTGGTACTTATCGAAGACTTAACATTCTGATCTAAAAATAATTTATTAATTATAATTCGATGAATATTATTCTAAAAAACTAAACCAAGCAATTGTACTTACTGTAAGTAGTTGTGCCTGCTAAACTAGGGGACTGTTCATCCGCATCGTTAATACGGCATGTGCACAAACTTGAAATATTGTCACAGATATAATCGATGCAAACCTCCCGTAAACTTCTTGGAGATTCGAACATCTTATATTTCTATTTACATACACGTTTTCCTTTTGTCTTTTTAAATGCTCTTTAAATATTTAATTATTTCAAGTGATCTAATTCCATTTCATTCCTTTGCATTTGTTTCAAAGAATCTATACAAACATATGCACGTCTGTAAATTTTGTACACTCTACCCGAATATTAAGATAAAATCAAGTAAAGCAATTTACATGACAATTTCATGTATTTATCATTCGTAATAAATTGAAATACGTCATACACAATTAATTTTCATACGATAACGAAATGTGTCATATTTATATCACTCGAAATAATAATTTACAATTGCATATGCGTCAGTACCTAAGGAAAGCATCAAAAAAGAACCACGCACGTCATTGTATTCCTATCACGCAGGTGACAGAATTTTAAATAATGATTACGTAATGACAAGTCCACAAAATGGAATAAATATTTGTGTCACTATGCATCTAAGCACATTGTATATGCTATGTATCAGAAATGGACCAATAAAAACTGCAAAGTTATTCGTTTAATCTATAAACGCATATCGCGTGAACATGGTATTTCAATGAAACGTTTGAATTCACGTACGAATTCCTTTCCAAATAACACTAATACGGAACTGTAAAAACTGCAGAAAATCGTAGTCTCTCACCTGTGGAGAGAACGCCATATTGACTTGCCAAATGTCTAAACAGACTGAAACATACCAGAAAAGTTTGTATATCGTAAAATACACGAACAAGATTATCGACGATAGTAATACGTTCGAACGAAAAAATAATATGTAGATCGCAATTGTATTATTCGATTAACGCTGAAAATTGTATCATGTGATACATAATGATTATCGTTAGTCGGACATACCTCGATATCGGGGAAAACATTTTTTAATCGTCCTAATTGTAACAATTTACCATTCGAACTGTATCCGCGTAAGAAATTACAGACAGCCTTTGACGGTCAACGAAGTCTGTTCGGTTCTGAAGACATAGTGAAATAAGTGTATGTAAGGAATTCATCGGTTATTGACACATTATCAATATGGCGGTAAAGTGGGAAACGATGTGCTTCTCAATGTGTATTACAATGTCATTCCAGCACGGTAAGAATTTTTTTTTTCAAGCAAGGTTGCAATACCTAGAAAGGTGTTGTTTAAAAATATTTGTTTTCTTAGATTTAACGACTGTCTCGTATTACGCAATTATGATAATGTTCGATTTAAAAATGATAAGCTTAACGATTCCCAAAGAAACTGATTTGTAATGCAAATATGAAATCTAAAAAACGAGCAGTTTTTTATCGCTTCGTAATTTTATTCTGTTGAATTTTTTCACGTGTACGTATAAAAACAAAAAAACAGTACAAATAGAAATTTTACTACTCGACTCTTTTTTATGCATTATTAATAAAGATTGAACATGGAATATTATACGATAAAAAAGAAAAATTGTACGTATTTTCACGATGTATTTTTTACATTTTTCTTGGTTTTTAAGGTTTAAAGAAAAATGAGTTTCAAGACAAGGTCATGATTTGAGTGTGCTGATAAGCAGCAATCATTTTGTAACACCATGTTTCATGATAACTGATATCGATCGGTGCTCTATCTACAATTACATTTAATTTCTAATAAGGATGCCCAGCTTACGGAAAAAAGTTGCTGGCTTTATGCGGCAACTATCTATCAGCAACTTGGCTGGTGCTGTAGAAAATATAGGTCAAGGAGAACAAACTTTACGTAGTCCCAGATCGTTAACACAAGATTTTACAAGTGGTTGCTTTATTACACGATATCTCGATGGGTAAGAATTGTTTTCAAACAATGTTTAATAATTAATATTCTTAGTAACATCTACCATATAAACCATAATTTTAGTTTAGAAACAAAGCAAGAAGGGCCGCCAATTTTGCATGGTAGAAATCCGGAAGAACTGCCAAGTAGACAACTTAGAAATTTTCAAGAAGACAAACAAGTATTTGCTGCTCATACTGGTCCAGATAATGGACTTGCAGCTGTTAATCTGCAACAGAAGCATTTAAGTCTTAACGATATCGATATTGATTATATAGATATGTTAGATCAAGGTGAACATAATAGGAACAGTAAGTATCGAAAAACGTCTATTGAATTTTGACGAAAGGTTTTGATAAAAAGGAATTGCTTCTTTCAGCATCTACTACAGCAACACCTACGATCGCTGGTATCGCAGATTGGTTTAAACCCCATGAAATGACATATGGAATTGCTACTACATTATACGAGAAAAATCCTACTAATGATACAAATAACGGGGAACCAATTGCAGATTGTTTTGGTATTGTAGCAAGATCGAATTCAGCTATTTTAGCGCTTGCCGATGGCGTTAATTGGGGTATGACCATTTTTTAACGACATCTTTATATGAATATATACAGTATATTTAAATGGTACAGTAAAAATACTTTATAAACAATTAAAGATATAATTAGGTTTAATTATTAGGTACCAAAGCAAGTATCGCAGCTAGATCTGCGGTACATGGAAGTATGGAATACTTGAATAAGGCATTTTTTTCTCCTTCGATTAATAATGAAATGACAACAACGAAAGACGTTTTTATAGCACTACTTCGTTCATTCCATGCTGCACATTCGTTAATTCTACAAGAACAGGGAATGCTCACGACATTAACCGTATGTGCAGTTCTTCCACTGCCAAATTCTGACTCTAATACAGGTCAGAAAAAATACATGGCTTGTACCTGTAACGTTGGCGACAGTTTAGCTTACGTATATTCAAGGTAATGCACACGAATATTAAAAATTATTATATCGTTTGCCATAAAAATAATATTTGACGTTAACAGAAAATCTGGAGTTAGAGAAATAACAAGAGGATCTCATGATATTCACTGTATGCGCGATATGCGCGATGCACTTGGAGCTTTAGGTCCTGTCGATGGTTCTAATCCTGAATTAAACAATTTGACCCTTGCAATGACAGAAGTTGAGAATGGAGATATCGTTTTCTTGACTAGCGATGGAATTTCGGACAATTTCGATCCTGTAGTTGGAAAATTTGCTGTCCTGCCATGCCATAATATTGTACCTGATTCAGCTGTAAAGAATAATCCCGAAGGAAGATCGAAAACGCGTCGAAAATCTACAGAAAACTTAAGACACACGGAATCCGGCAATAGTAATAGAAATAAATCCAGTTTGCCTGTAGTCGAGGCGTATCAAAGACACGAACTCACGCTTCTTAGAATGGAAGATTTGTTACGACGAGGTGTATCCGGAGAAGGTCCGCCGTGTAACAGTGCCAAACATCTATGCGAACTTCTTTTGGATTTTGCAGTAAGTTACAAAAAGTGTGCGCAACAATATGGAAATGCTAATTTCAAATACTAATATAAATTTAATTTTTTGTACATAATAAAAGGTGCGCATAACTGCTGCCAAGAGACGAATATTGGAAGACACAGATTTATATTACGCGCAAAGTAAAGACGGCCAATTAGTTCAACTTTCCAAACAAGAGCAGAGAACTCGGCGAATAAAAACATTGGATAAGGTATCCATGATTCCTGGAAAGCTAGATCACGCAACGGTTGTAGCACATGTAGTTGGATCCTTTGATTCAGAATATGTTTTATAATTAACCATGTAATATTATTTAGTTTTTATTTTTTAAAAAAAAAGTGGTAAATTAAATTGTTTTTATATAAGACTTTTCTTGAAGCGTTAAGTTAAAGGTACTCTTTTAAATATTGTATAATTAAGTTGTTTATACAATTTTTTTATTATTTAAAATAAAAGAAATATATATACGTGCTTATTCTGTATATGGTAAGATTTATTTCATTGTGATTATAAATCCGATTTATACGATACATGTATATAATGTGTATACGCGGTATAATTACATATGTAATAACATGTGTATAGATACACGCATCAGTGACAGATTTATTGTTTCAATGACAATTTATAATATTTAAGTTCCAAATAAAGTGGCGTTTAAACATATTTATCATTCAATTATGCCGAATATCGGTATCCTAATTAAATAAATATTTCATGGAAACATGTGTTTTATTTAAAAACTTGAAAATGCTATCACGTTAAGATTACCAGCAGTTTCTGTTTACTGATTGGTTATAAGTAAGGCATCGGCCAATCAGGACGAAGATTTTGCTAAATGGGTGCTGCAAAAAGTTACAGTACCATAACCGAGGTGTCGCCAATGGTAAAAGCACTGGGATTTTATAGACTTGTGCTAATGGCAGCCTTGACAAATACATGATGGCCGTTGCCACCGAATAGTGTAACGCGTACATGGAACTGTCGTGTGCCAGAAAAGTTTATTATTTTAAGTAGAATTTTTCCTCTCGTGTACTTTATATATGTTGTTTTTGTTTGCAAAGGAACGAAACGTTGTGCGCAGAACTAAAATCATGCGAAAAGAAGTGTGAAAAAACGAAAAATCGCAGGAAGAAAACACGGGTGGCAAAACCGCGTTCGCGGAGGTAATATTGACAATTTTTCATCGCGACGCTACTCGCATTTTTCCGCGTCAATATGAAATACACGTATCCAGGATACCTTCTTCGGGTTTCTCAGCTATTCGAACCGAAAAATTTTTCACAGATGGTTGCTTTTTCTTTTGTTTACGCCTTGTCAGTTGAGCTTTTGTTGTGTGCATCCGCGCGCCGCTGGTACCCATAAGTGAGAGTGAGATGTATGCGATTCCTGTATGCGTGTAGTAAGTGGCTTGTGTGGCACGTATGCTTGCACACAGGCGTGCAAGTTATAACCTCAAAATGTGTGTTTCCAGCTGTCGAATTTTTATACAGAACAATTTTCCTGCTCTAGAACGATTATTTATACCTGTAAATGCCATTGTGCCACAACAGTGTGATGATCACTGTTCTATTGTACACAACAGAATTTCTCAATGATAACACATATTTTGTGTTGTGGTAAAAGTTCCATTGGATCGGAGTATTAACAGTTTATTGTAAATTAAAAAGGAACAATGTTTTTGAAGTGTTATTGTAACATATATTCCTTTATCTCTAACGACTAATGGAATATTGTTTACGTGTTGCAGGATATGAATTGAGCGTAGGATTCGAAAAGCCATAAGTGTAGTGTACGTGACACTTTTGAATAAGACTAAAATGTGAACCAGTTTTGAGCTGTACTTATAGATTAAATGCAAAATATTATGATACTAGTGCTTTAAACGTTAACAATTTGGTAAATAATGTTTACCAAATATTACTTGGAGTTGGGATAATACGAAATACGTATTGTTTATGAAGTGAAAGCTAGGATTGTTTTACATGCACAATTTCTAATGTAATGTCATGGAAGAATGTAGTACATTTGTGTTTATACATGGATGCAATCTTGCAACAAATGTATTTTAAAGATAAATCGGAATATTTTCAAAATGCTATTGTGCAACTATTCTTTAATGGATAATGTAGTTCGAAAGAGAACTACTTGTTGTGTGCAACAAATTAATATCCAAACATGGTTAGCACTAAAGCATGATATTAAAAACAAATGCAAACAATTGATATAAACGTAAATATTTTGGAGAGATAAGAAAGTGCTGCCTAAATAACTGGTAAAACACGAAGTTACATGCATGACAGGAATAGGAGACGTAGGTCGCAGACGCGTTGAGTGGCGCCGTAGCGCAAATGCAACTTTTTCTTGTCACTGAGCTAGAATAATCAGTGGTGAGTAGTTTATGTATAATAATTATAATTTCAAGCGAGCCTAGGTTTATATAGGAGTAAATAAATTTTTATAAATTTATATAGGAGCATACAGTAGCAAGCATAGATAAGCTGAAAAGGTGGCTAGACGCTGCCCAGAGTAAAGAGGGGCTGCGTGGGCATGCAGCAGCCTCAGTCACGCCCTCTTCTCGGGGACTCAGTATCCTCTACAACTTCCCCGACTGCTCGGCGTAACAATCCTGTTGCTGTTTTGACACATCAACAAGTATAACTTTTTTTCTATACGAATATAATACATAAAACTTGTATCGATACTAAATTGTATTCTATATTTTGTTTTATTTTTCAGTTACAACAATTACAACAACTGCAGGCTCAAAATTCGAGTGGTCAATCTCTGACATTTGCTTTGCAACAAACATCAAATAATGTAAGTATTTTTATTTTAAAACGAACGATAATTCCTTCTATCGTTGAAATTTATATTACAGCCGCAAGACCAAGGAAATGGGTCGACGACTGGAAATCACATAGTATATGTAAACCAGTTAAACCATTTAAATCAGGGTACCATAAATCCCTCGGGGACTGGTATGGGCCTACCCCCGGCCACCCCCACTTTTGGGGTGGGCCTTAATATGGGATTGCCACTATCACTTTTAAATACCAGCCTTACATCCCTCACATCTAATGTTATCACTACGTCAAATCCTCTGCTCAATTTGGGCCTGCCAAGTATAAATACAGGACTAACTACAATAAATCCTAGCCTCAATCACTTGAATGCTATAAACTCCAATTTAACCTCGAATATTGGTTCAAACAGTATTAATAACGGTTTATCTGGTTTGGGACAGGATCTAAATAATATAAATACTGGAATTAATAGACTCAATACGTTAAATTCAACGAATATAAATTCTGGATTGTCCGGTGTTAATACTGGAATTACGAATGTAAATCCAAATTTAACAAGTTTAAACTCAAATGTAAACCAGAATCTAACCAGTTTAAGCACAAACTTTACTTCCCCAAGTTCTGGTGTGTCTGGTTTAACTGCTATCAATCCAAATATAAATGCAAATTTGAACAGTACCAGTATAAATTCTGGTGTAAATCAGGGTCTCAATCGACCTGTTAATGCTTTAACAACTGGATTGACTCAAACTAGTCTGAATTCCAACAGTACGCAATTTCCATTCCAAGCCATACAAAGTATACAAAGTATTGCACCACACATTGTTGGATCAAATATTGCACATGTACCAAGTTCTGCCATATCGCAGCACCCAAATTCAAACGTTTCTACTATATCACAAATATCGAATACTGGTACTTTGACGAGTTCCAGTATATTCACGAGCACTTCCAGTGAACCAATTCATTCAACCACAGCAAATGTGAACCACGCTTCAAACGTGAACCTCACTACAAATATTCCACATCTTGGTACAATGCACTCGAGTTTATCTAATGTACAAACATCGAATGTGCAGCATATATCTGCATCAAACGAGCCGAACATGTCACTGAGTCATAATTCTTCTTTAAGTTCCTCTCAATCAACTGGATTTCAACCTCAGCGACAGTATTCACAGGGAATTAACCCTGGGTTAAGTTCATCGGTAACATTAACGGGCTCGTCTCAGCCATCAAATGTGGTCAGTACGATAAATACTGTAAAATCTATGCAAAACATTCAGAGTCAAAATATTAGCTCTCCGAGCAGTCCATTTTCAATACCACTGAAGAGTCCAGCATCTAATATTGCACCACCCACGCCAAGCCCAAGTCCTAACAGGCTATTACTTAGAAGTCCAGCATCAAATTCAATACAGTCGAACAGAAATAGTCCAAGTCCTGTTGGGACATCAACTTCAAACAATAATTTTAATATACAAATGCAAAGTCCAATGCAGAGTCCAATGAGTGTTAGTCAAATACAAAGTCCTGTACTTAGTCCATATCCTCCTGCAAAAAGTCCTCATCTATTAAGTGGAAATAACTCTCTAAACAACAGAAGTCCAGCACCTGGTGGAAGTCCTGGTCCACCTGTGGTAAGAAGTGATTTTTCTGTTTACATATAATAAATAAGATCTAGATTTCAATAATCGTTTTCAATTTCAGGTTAGACCTAATACACCAATACTTCAACAAGGTATGCAAGTATTGCAAATAATTCATGGTACACCACAGGGGTATCAATCGACGCCAACACAGTTGGTAACTAGAACGCATCTCTTTGGAAATCAACAAATTCAAATAGCAACAAGTAAACCTGCAAAGCAACCACCGCAAATTCTACCAAAACCTCCTAATCAACAAGCCACTGGCTCGCAACAAAAACAACAGCGTGCTACTACCACGATTACAAATCAAGTAATATATTTGTTCTACCGCAATCTTTTGAGTCATTTTAAAAGTTCATTATTTATTGAATTATTGAAACAATATTAGGTGTCTCAACAAACTCAACCACAGTTAGTTCTTGCTGGACCTCAACCAAATCCAACAACAGCTACAATGATACCAACAGCCCAAGGTCTCCTTCTAAACCAGGTAATTACAAATATTTTAAGTACTTATCATTTGCATGTTATTCATTATGTGATCATTCGAAAATATACATTTTGTGCCTGTTCTAGCGGTTACCAATTTTATACAAAATAATTTTAATATGCTTGATTTCTAATACAACAGCTTATGTGCATCTTTTAGCGTCACAAATATCTGCTTTGTGCTTCATATGTTTATAACATTTCATACATAGGTTTTACCGTCAACTGGACCCGTTATTGTACAGCAGCAACCAGGTGGGGTTCAACTTATACTAAGAACGCCAGCGAGCGCCCAGCAACAAACACATACTGCACAGGTGATGGTTTCATCCATGCAGTCATCCAATTTCATTATGTTCAGTCATTGCTTACTTAATACTACAATGAATATTTTTTATACGCCACTTTAAGTGTTACTTAAGATCATTAGCAAATTTTTCATATAATTAAATTTTGGTATCATCGTTAGATTTTATATGCATTTCACGTTAATCATTCATGTGTCCAAATTTTGTATAAATTGCCTTGGAGTAAATAGCGTTACAATGTCTCTAATTTAATAAGGACCGTTTAACAAAATAATAGAATAAGTAAATTAGGAAAGAATTTTGTTACGCAATATATAAAATCTGTCCTTTTACAGCTAACACAACAACAATTAGTTAGAGTTGTCACGGCACAAGGTATGCAGTTACAGGGTATCACTCCTACGTTTTTTGCTGTGCCTAATGGTTTTCCTTCAGCTGCCTCTCCAGTGATTAGACATACTCCATCTAGTCCTGCACCTTGTAAGTAATTAATTTTAATTAATTTAAAAATAATTTTTTGTTAAAATTTAAAATATTTCTTTTTCTTGTTTAGCTGGAAATTCAGGGTCTGGCAATTCTATAGTGATTCAAAATGCAATGGTACAAAGTCCTCAACCACAGATTTCACAAGTAGGTTCAGGTACTAATGCTGGCACTACTCCGTGTACCCAAGCTGTCGTAGAACAGACTTTATTGCCTCCACCTAAGAAGAAAGCGAAGAAAAAAAAGAAGGCGAAACGGAAAGACGACGAACCACCGAAATTAGATCTTGCTAGTATAATGAAGATATCAGGAATCGGAGACGATGATGATATTTTTGATACTGATCTTACAACTGAATCGGACGTTCCTTGTCAAGTTCAAGTTGAATCAAGTTCAGGACAAAATCTCGGACAATTTTCGTCCCAAGTAACTATACCTACCAGTTCTGCTCAGAATCTGATACAAGTACCTGCACCGAATACAACGAATACACAAACTTCTGTGTCTCAAACATTGAATAGTCAACTTGTTGCCCAACTTCAAATGCCCGTGCAGAACACGATACAGGGGCAATTGCGATTCGCTCTTGGGGAGGATGGAAGAGTTGTCCTACACCGTACTCCTGATCCAAATCAACCTGAAATAGACCAGGCTACCGCTCAAGCATTGATACGATCGTTGACGCAAGGCGGTGGACAAAATTCACCGATTATCTCTCATCTTCTTGGGCAGGCGCAAACTACAACACAATCTACGCAAAGTACTGTATTACACAGGCAGAAATTTGTTAAATCGCCTTTATCATCATCCAGTGTTTCAACAGTTACTACTACTGCAAGTCCTGCAGGCCCTCAAAGTGTTACTTGTGCTACTAGTCCGCAACATGTGCAAGTATGCTCAAAATCAAGTAATCAGCAGAAAAGTGTAAATGTTCCTCAAGAATCCAATCCTGTGTTAAACGTTTGTGTCCAAAGTAATCTTGGATCGTTACAAACATTAGACATGCAAGCATCGAAAAATATTAATGTACAAAATCTCATACCAGCATCAAAAACTATCCAATCACCTAATTCTAATCTTGCGCAACCAAACAGTAACGTTCTAACGACATCCGATGTTTTAGCAACAAAACCTTCGTGTACCACGTTTAGTGTGCAAAGTTCTCGATTGTCTAATGCAAACCAAGCAACTAGTAATCAACAAAATTCTAATGTTTCTACACAAAAATCTAGTCAAGTACGACTTACGAATGCTTGTGTAACTACTAATGTGCGACAAAATCTAAGTAAAATATCACAAAGTGGTGCTCACGTACAAAAACCGTTGCCAAATAGTTTAGCTGTACAAAACGAACACAACTTGACGAAAAATAATCAGAATCTTCAGCAGGGAAATCAGCAGGATTCTGTAACATTGCAACAAGAAACACCAATGTATCAGCATAATCAACATCAACAAATAACCGCGCAGACTGTGCAAACGCAAAACGTCCAACATGTATTCGAGCAAAATCTTCAAGCTTCTGGGCCAAATGTTCAACATAATTCTGTAAACATGATGCAGCAACAAAGTTCTTGCAATACTATGCAACACGATGCTATGAATGTGTTACAACATTCTAGTATACAACAGAATATTAATGTTTTACAACAAAATGCAGCTGGTAATGTACAAAACATCGAGCAAAATTTGCAGTCTGGTATTGGCGATATATCTCACGCTCAACAGAATGTTATTACAAGTTTGCAACAACAAAATACGTCTGGTATTTTGCATAATACAAGTGTACAACAAAATGTAAACGTACAACAACAGAAAGTTGTTGCAGCAAATACGTTTTCTTCTGTTAACGCGCACCATTTCGAGACTCAAAATACGGCTAATGCTATACAGCAAGGAATAAATACACAGCAAAATAGTCAACATCAAAATATCGTCATCGCGAATGCTCCACCTTCTAACACTATGCAGCAAAATGAATCTCAAAAAGTAGAATCCCAAAATACAACAATGCTTAATTCGGCAGCAAATAACATGTTAAACAATGCGCCAAAAATTACACCAGAAATTTTGAATGCATTGAGTAATTTGAATCCAAACGACCAACTGTTAATAGCGAATGCAAACGGACAAATGCAAGTTATAAGTCAACAGCTATTGCAACAGTTTTTAGCAGGACAATTAAATACAACTAATCAGGCGCAGAATCAAAACCAAACTCAAAAAATAGTGATTGGCGAGCCGGATGCGAACAATCAGAATTTACAGGGTGTACAAATTAATACCCCGACGAGTCAAATAATTGTAAATAGTTCTGGTGGTGCTCCTACGATTCAAAATAATATACAAAATATTGTAGTGCAAGCTGCGCCTTCTCAAATGCCGCAACACATCCAGATTCAAAATTCCGGTTTCCCTAGTCAATTTATTGACAATCTAAATCAACAGCAAATTAGAAATTTAGGTACCAATCAACCAAAGAAGGCAAAAATTGTTAAAAGGACGAAAACTATAGTCACTACGCAAAGTAGTGGAAATGCCCAGGTATGTGAAAAAATTTAGTTCTTAATGGTTTTTATTTTTTACTTGTCTATCATTTCTTCTAAATGTATAACTTGCAATACCAGGTAACGAAAACTGTAACGGTTTCCCGCCCGACTATGATATCAACGAATACAACCAGCCTTCAAAAGGTTGATAATTCTAGTAAAGCAAATGCTGTGGTATCTCAGAGTACAAATCCAATTAAGAGTGAATCGACTCAAATTGTCACAAACGGTCCTGTACTTCCATCTTCTCCTGGAAGTCATTTGTCAGTTCCTTCAAATGGTCAGATGGTTCAAAGAGTACAGACCATTCAACTTCCTGCTCAAAAACAGCAATTACTAAAAAATATTCAGTCTCAAATACAAGCTATACTAACTCGTAAATCGGGTTCGCAACCGGATCAAACTGTTTTGACAAAATTATATCAAGAACAAACGAAAATTTTAGCAAGTGGAAAGATCGTCAGTACACATTCCGTTAGTAGTGTAAGTTCTATAGTACTACCGTTTATAAAACAAACCAGACTTTTAAAAATCCTCTTAACGACATGATGTAACAATATTACATCGTTTTGTTTTTAATAGGGCTCAGAAACAAATTTCAATGTAAATGCAGTTACATCAATAGCATCGAACTTAATTTCTCAAAATTCTTACAAAAATCAAACATCAGCTGTACAAACTCAAACGCAAGCATCTACTGCTGTAGTAACTTCACAAAATGTGAATCCAAGTACGCCAACAACGGTGCAAAGTTCCGCACCTAGCAGTTATATAAATAGTCTTACAGTGAGTAATAATTTATTGTACTATAATTATATTTGTGCTTATATTTTCATTCGCAATTTATTTCACGAAATAATAACATTCTCTGCAGGCATCGCAAAATGTGCAAGGACAGCAATGCGTACAAAATAATCAGAATGTGCATCAAGCGCACACAAAGCAGCACAAGATTTATCAAAATCATGGAAATCAGATATTGAGTCCGTCCTCTGCCAATATGCAAATTTTCTCACCGCCGAATACCTCTGTAGCCACCTTGCAGGGCAACGCACAACAATTAACTTCAGTCCAAACACAGCAAACAGGAATGCAGCAATCGACGCAATGTCAAACAGACCCACTAGATATCAAACCAAACATACAATTGTCAAGTCCTGTGAAACAAGAACTTTCTTCGCCTATTCAAGTACAAGTTCAAACTGGCTCTCCTGCAGGACAGGTAGCCTCACCTAGAATGATCGGCAAAGGGTCACAAAGGATTCAGAGTCCTGTAAATACCAGTGGCAATTCGAACAAACAGATTGTCAGTCCTGGCAGTAATTCGAGTCCTTTAGTAAGTCCAAGACAAGGTGTCAAGAGACCTGCATCTAGCCCAATTTGCAGACAAATTAATCGTAGTGACTTGTAAGTACGCGATGACATTACGATTGTCAAAAGTACATGCTACGTTTACAAATGTATTTGAATTTTTCTGTTCACAGATTAGAACAACAGTTAAAAATTGATCAAAACGGTGCGATAAATCCGGATGTGAATACACCATTTTTGAGCAAACGTGACGCTTGTAAACGTCTTGTAAGGTATCATTGTTTAAATGAACAAGTACTTAATTCGAAGGATTTGACAAAAGCTGACGAGATATTCGAAGAAACAGCAAAGCATTTATTAACGAAATTCAACTCTATGATGAACAAGTACACATACCTTCTTCTGATGGAAAGTATGGTACGTTAAAAACTATTTACCTTGTTTCAAAATTTATACAACAGTTTCAATGGAATACTAATTGAAATAAAATTACAGAGAGAAGTGAGGACATCAGAATTGATGATGATCGATAGGATGTTTGTTTCTGAAGAACAAAGTATATTAAATAGGTTACGAGAACAAGAGGCTAAGGTTAATGGTATGTCTTCCTAATTCGACATATTAGCGATTATACAGTAAAACCTCGATTTAGAAAACTAATTGAGAGGAGCCGAACGGCATATAATTTGAGGTTGTATCGACATATCGATAGAGTTCTGTTCATTAAATCGGGGTTCGTTAAATCTAGGCTTTACTGTATTTTGCCCTGATATCTTATTTCTTATAATGAATATATTTTTGTACGTTTTATAGAAGAGTTTAAAAAAGAAGAGAAGCCATTGGTGCCAAAGGTTGAACCTGGTCTTTCAGAAGAAGACAAATTATCACCACCGTTAACTAATGTATCTGTAAAACGTGAATTAGAAGACGACTTCCCAAGCGACGAAATGGAATGTAAACCAGTGATCAAGTCAGCAAGTTGTACTAGTGGTGATTATGACGAGTGGGTAGAAATTCAAAAGGAACTTGGTGTATATCCATCTACCACAGACTCGTTTAAATGTAAAAATAGTAATAATAGTGGTAGTAATAGTGCGTGTGCTGTGGCTGTTACAAGGTCGTCAAAAACTGAAAGAACAAGAGCGAACGGTGAATGTCGTGCGAATGTACCAAGTGCGAGTGTTTCTGGAGTTCAAACCAACACAGTTGTAAAAGACAATTGCGAACAAGATAATACTCCACTTTACGAAAGACGTTGGTGTAGCGCTACAGATCTCGAACGGGATTTGTTAGAGGATACCGACAGCCTAGATGGACTGGCCTTACATTCTCAAACACAATGTCCAGGCTCTCTTCACATAACTAATGAAAGTGGAAACGGTAATGAACACGATGATATTACCGCACAGGTACAATCTGCTATCGATAGCATTCTTAATCTTAAAAAACGTCCTACAAACACATTACCTGGCAGTAGTGGTAACAGTGCATCACAGTCCAGTGAACCGAAGGACTCAGTGCTTGACCAAGCAGTCCGCAGCATTTTAGGCTCGTGACCCTCCTTTAATAAAGTATGTTAAACAAGTGAAGTTAATGGTGAACATCAAGCTAGTTGTTCGTTTTGAAAATTTTAAAAGGACTATACATTCTTTTTGGTGATTTTTGTGGTTAATGTGAATAATATAAAAAACTATGTTTGACATTAAGAATGCGACATTGTTTTTGGTAATGCATATCTAAAATCACACAGATTGTTGCTAAATTATTTGTACAAATGCAGCCCTGATTTTTTCATTTATATATAAATTAAAACAGACTAACTGGATTATGTAATTTTACATATTTTTCCAAAATTCAACAAAATTTGTTTTCTGCAATGGCAATAACTATTCATAATATAAAAAGAAACATGTATACTTTCCAGTAGTCTAGCTGTAATAAAGCCATCGCGTTTACCTAATTCTAGCAGCTGTACATGTGGATAGATAGACGGATAGATCAATAGATAGTTAGTTAGATAAATAAATAGATAACTTGCTCAGATTTTTCAATCTGCCACTTTGTAATGTAATTTTGTAAAAAGTAATTATTTAAATCAACTTATTCCACTTTGTCTGTAGTACTTGTAGAGAAATCTTACGGATACTTAAAACTGGGTCGGTAAATTGTACATACGTTTTTAATGTGTATTATTAATATTATTATTGCTATTATTTGTATTATTGTTATTGAGATTTACTCTCAGAATTATTATTGTATTATTAATATTATTATTATATTATAATTATTACTACTATTATTGTCAACGATACCATCGTCTCAAACGATGAGGATGTATGGTATAAAGAGAAAGTAGTGGTTTAAGAGACTGAAATGGAAGACAATGAAAAACATAGAAGGCAAATGATATATAAGGTGAAAAGGGAACACAAAACCTCTATATTAATTTGAATTCATTTCTATTTAATGTATATGCAGTCTTAAATGTTAAAATGCAAAATCAAACAGGCAAACATTTTTCAAGTAGATATAGTATTTTACAACTTTTTTGTCGTTACATAAAAACACAATAGATCTGGGTAAATGTTGAGTACATGTGTAGAGAGCACATGCGTGGAAAAAGGGTAATCCCACATTGGTAACATTTTAAGCAAACGATAGATAACCGGTGAGTAAGACTTAGAAAGCAGATCTTTCTATATGTGCCTTTTTATTTTTTACATAGTTGATGACTAATATATCTTGTATGTACACCTGACTCGTAACTTTGATTCACTCGATGATAACATGTCAAATAATAAATGCAGGTTTTTTAAACGGTAAAATTACACATACAGAACTGTGGTCTGAGTTAATCGTTTTCTAAATGTCTCGTGAATTACAAGAATAATTGTTCATCACCAACAGTGCTTTTGCAAGAAAAATTTAGTTATGTGGCTGTATTTTTGCATCCTTTTCCCACATAAATTCATGATAGCTCTCTATACACAGAGGCAATGAAATGTTTTTGGCAAAAGCAATCCAAGACTGACGTATATACAGAGAATCAAGCAAAAAACTATGTAATGTATTACAATAAGAAATAATCATTTGTACATAATATTCAATTACACTCTCGACGGCAATCGTGACTTAATGAATTCTTCAAAGATTTTAAAATTTGGATATGCTAAAGTTCTTTTGATCCTAATAAATTGCCGATATTTCACGAGTACGTGTATGAAAATATTTTTATCCTTATCTATATTAAGATTTCAGTTTGCAGCATGAAATTTGATTTCCAGTACTGAGAACTTTTACATGATAGCGTATAATGCCTGACGAGAGTGAAGTCAAGTGGTTAACGCGATAAAATGTAATTATTACTATCAATTACATGATTTTAGATATCATGAAAAATCTTGTAATGAACAACTCCTCTCCTGCCACGTTATCGTGGAATTATATTGATATTCCATTTTAATCACAAATTTAGGTGCCTTATGAGAGAATGTTCAGTAAACTTTTTTACCCTGTCAGGTATACCGTATTTTAACACTGTAAAGAGGCACATAAAATTGTCGAGTATTTCGCATAATTTAAATAGTTTATTATATTCCAGGTGTAATAGTGTGCATTTGTAATATAATCAAACATCATTAGTTGCATTTTTTCTTCAAATTATGATTTTCACGAACCGTTGTATAATTTAATATTTATACGGTAAGGCAATTTTTAACAAATGCTTGAATGTGCTTTTTTACAATATCTGCCTTTATATAAAATTGCATGTTGTGTGTGTGTGTGTGTGTGTGTGTGTGTGTGTGTGTTTGTTTGTTTGTTTGTGTGTGTACCTACATTTCAGAGTATACCAAAGAATACAAAATTAATTCAAACTAAACCATAATATGATACATATATATATATATATATATATATATATATATATATATATATATATATGTATGTATTGATGTTTATAGTAGTAATTACAAATTAATACCCGCATTTCAGATTAACTTTTTCCACTTGTAGGTACACTAATGATATCTGTTTTGAAATTAATTTGATTAATGCTTTTAAAACATGTAATTACTTAAAAAATTTAAGAAATGGAAATGAAATAACAATAATTCGATATGTAAAAAAATCCAAGTACATTCGTAGGTATCAAAATTCACATTTAAATATTTCATATTTATTCAAATTAAATCCATTTCTATGATTTTTTTAAATATTATTGTAAACAAGTATTTCAAGGTAAGTTGAAATAAAAATGTTACATATATTGTGAAGTCAATAATAATCGTGAATAGAAATTAGACGTAATTTGTAAAAAAAAAAGAAGGTGAATATTCAAATGATTCATTGAATATTAAGAGAAACTATTCGTATGTAAAAATTGCCAAAAATATGAAAGATTTCGAGTTTAACATTATTTTCCGGGACATTGTAATAATGCGAAAAGCATGTATGTGTGTGTGACCATGGTCTATATATATTAGCGACGCCTACGTGATTTTCAGTAAACTTGTAATTGCACGTGTGTGCGATCCATTGACGTATTCGTTACACGTACAAATGTACCTGTTTGTAAATAATTTTTGTAATGTTAAGGCATAGTGCATGAAACAGATGATTCCAGAAATGTCTGTAAAAATTACCAAACGCGAAATGAACGATGCTATCGAAGACGACCCTTACGATGTGGAAAAATGTGGCAAGTGGATTGATGCGTGTAATTTAAATAAGGTTTGAATGCTTTATCTATGTGATGGATATTTTATCAATTAGAACTGTATAATTAAATTGTAATGGAATATTTAATTTTCAATTCTATTCTACTTCCTCAGTAATATAAAGAAAAAAAAAAGATACATTATAAAGGTTATATGTATTGGTCATCAAAGTTTCATTCATCAATATGTGACACATAAGTCATACAAATAATATATTATATTCCACTGTGAATAAACGCATAGTTATAAGTATACGAAAAAAGGTTAACTTGAGGTATCGAATACTTTCAGGTGTGTCTACAATTTCCCGATAACCTTTTAACCGATTCTGTAGAAGTAGCGTTACGCTTGGAGAATCATATCGGTAAGAAGGTGTACATTCTGGGCGATACTACTTGTGGTAGTTGTTGCGTAGATGAAATAGCAGCTCAACATATTAACGCGGATAGTATAATACATTTTGGTCATGCTTGTTTAAATCCAACTGCTCGATTACCTGTCTACCATGTTTTACCAAAAAATGAAGTAGACATAAAAGAAGTTGTCGACAAATTTAAATCTAATTTCGAAGATAATTCTAAAAGAATTTTATTTTTTTACGATGTCGCTTACGCGCATAAAATTGGTAAGTACTCGAATTCTGTTACAAAAAATATTGTGATTCTTGCTTTAATTTATCAATTGTTATTGAAAACATTTTATAATTCCAGAAAGTATACACGAAATATTAAGTCCCATCTACAAAAATTTGATCTTTTCCTCTCTGAATTGCACCTCGAATGTACAATTCACAGATACAAGAGATAATTCATCTATAGTAATCTTAGGTAGAAGTTTCAAGTTAGAAAAAGAGTATAAAGTAGAAGATTATGAAGCATTTTTCCTTGGAAGCAATGGAAAAACATTCTCTATATTAGCAATAACGATATCTGCAAAAAGGTGGTATTATTTTGATAATAATAATATCATTGAATACGAAGCTTTAAATACACCATGGCTAAAAAGAAGAAGATTCTTAATAGAAAAATTGAAAGATGCTAAAGTTGTTGGTATTGTTGTAGCTACATTAGGCATTAAAGATTACCTTAAAATATTGACATTGGTTAAAAGTATTCTTAAACAAAAAAATAAGAAATCTTATATTTTAAGCGTTGGTAAAATCAATCCAACGAAACTTGCTAATTTTCCAGAGGTATGTCGGATATTAATAGCGTAAATGTTAATTAAAACTATTACCGATACTCCGAAAATGTGTGTTTACGTTGTGTATTTACAGATCGATGCTTTCGTTGTAATAACGTGTCCTGAAAATGAAATATTCGATTCTAGAGAATTCTTAAAACCGATACTTATGCCTTATGAAGTAGAATTAGCATTTAATAGTTCAAGAGAATTGTACGGAGAGTATTGTATGGATTTTAGACAAATACTTCCTGGAGGAATGAATTATGTTGAATTTAAAGCATCAACAAATTCAGACGTTTCTTTAATTACTGGCGAACTCAGGAATTGCGATGAAAATGCTCCGTGTACAGATACTATGGATGCATTGGCAATTAAAAATTCAACAGGTATTATACCATTTATATATGGTAAGAAAAATCGATTAGTACAAATTTACCTAATATTATTATTTCGATTGAATTAGGTGTTGTCGCGATTGGAAAAGCTGGGGCAGAATTTTTACATAATAGATCGTGGAAAGGAGTTGAACAAAGATTAGGTAAAGATGCAGTGCATTCAGCAGAAATTGGACGCCACGGTATACCAAATTGTTATGAGAATGAATGTGTTTCAGTAGAAAAAAATTAACGGACCTGTAATAAATAGAATCATTTCCTTAATATAATACAATTTTTTTTTAAAAACAAAAATTTTTCAAAATATTTATTATTTAGTACAATTTCCCTTTTTTTTCTTCAAATTTTTGTATATTATATTTACTCTTCGTATTATATATTATGAAACAAACAATTCGTACGAATTTGTCGATCATAATCAGAACGGAGTAACTACTTTTTGGCTGAGCACGTGCTGCATTGCTGACGTGAGCGTAGCGAGATATCGAAATATCCTGTGATCAGCTGTGCTCTGTCATCATCGCAATGTTAAACTGACTAGAGTAAGACGTGTCCAAATATCGTGTAATAATGTACAAATACTTTTCAAAATGAATTTGTATTCTGCTAATAATAAACACGCATGTAAAAGTTTGACTGTTTTTACGATACTTTTTGTTCTTGGTGCGTGTATCGTAGCGTCATACACTCAAGAAACTTCTAACCTCAAACATGAAAATGTCACGTTGCATAATAAGAGCACCACGTTACAAGTCGATACCCAAACAAATTTGGCTACCAGCAATTCCACGCAATCAGGTGTCTCTGAAAAATCTCGAACTACTGATTCAAAGTCGAACACTACTGTGACGAGCGTAATAATAAACACTAAATCTGAAACTACATATACAAGTACAGTTCGGCCTGAACGTGAAAGTAATCAGACCACTGAAAAAGTTAATACAGTACCAACAAATATTATTAACGATAAAAATGGAAGCATTATACCAGATTTCACAGTTCCATCGCAAAGTTCAGACATTAGCAATACAACAAATACGAGTACAACAACTGTTACGCCAGCAGAACCAGTATTACCTGACAAGGGATCCGCAGAAGAGGAACATAACAGTTCGATGTCTATATTTTTCGTTCTTTGTGTTTTAGCATTGGGCATTCTACTTATACATCTTATGCTGCAAACAAATTTTCAATATCTACCAGAGTCAGTAGTAATTGTTTTCTTGGGAGGTGCTATTGGTATGATCATAAATCTTATGTCGAATCAGAATATAGCTAATTGGAGAAAAGAGGAAGCTTTTTCTCCAACTGCTTTCTTCCTTGTACTCCTCCCACCTATCATATTTGAATCAGGGTATAATTTGCATAAAGGAAATTTCTTTCAAAATATCGGTAGTATTTTAGTTTTTGCTATATTTGGCACAGCAATATCAGCATTTGTCATTGGTGCTGGAATCTATTTGTTAGGATTAGCTCAAGTAGCATATAAACTCAGTTTTGTTGAAAGTTTTGCATTCGGATCGTTAATATCCGCGGTAGATCCGGTTGCTACTGTAGCTATATTTCACGCCTTGGACGTGGATCCTGTATTGAACATGTTAGTTTTTGGTGAATCCATTTTAAACGATGCAATTTCTATTGTATTAACTACATCTGTATTGGAATCCAACAATGCAGGAACTACTAGCGAAGCTATTATCCTCGGTTTAAATAGATTTTGTCTTATGTTCTTTGCTTCTGCTGGCATCGGAGTTGTCTTTGCTCTTATAAGCGCGTTATTACTTAAACATGTGGATCTCAGGAAAAATCCTTCTCTTGAATTTGGACTTATGTTGGTATTTACTTATGCGCCATATGTTCTGGCAGAAGGCATACAGTTATCTGGTAAGAATTTGAATGTTTAAATCTAACAT